AAAAGTTATAGAAAAGAAATCGTTAGGTTTCATTTCATCTCAGAATTTTGCATTGGCTGCAAATCTTACACTGCTCACAAACTGAAAACGTGTCTGGAGTTCTTAACGCTTTTTAGGAGCTGAGCTGATTTGGTTCATCTCAGTGGAGAGAAACAGCAATAGCTGTGTTCCTTGTTTCGTGCTTTATTGGCGTTGGGGTCCAGATTCAGAACTGACTGCAGATATGTGCTTTCTGGTATCGTAGGATTAATTATTGTGTGATTACAGTCGGAGCTTTCTGTAAAAGTACTTGTTGACCTCAAAGTAGTACGTAATCTAGCTCTGTTACATTAGGAGACAGAGACAGAGACAGAGAGAGAGGAGAGAAAGGTGGGCGGAGGAGGGGGAGGGAAAGGGACCCTACATACCTATGTTATACAGCAGGTCATCATTAGATTAATTATGAATTAAACGCTGAAATTCACAACCACAAACTAATTCAAAATGGCCCACTTAGCGCCTCTGTTATATTGAAATTTTGTCAACGGTCTGTACCATTTACTTTCTCTTATGTGGTTGTTTGATCTTGCACTTAGAGGCATGATTGTATTTTCCTTGAATTACTATGAATCTCATGTCCAAATGCCAAAAAGTGTGAATCTGCTGAGCAAATAGAAGAATCAGTTATTTTTGTAAAAAGATCATGAGTCTTGCTCAGGAGTATGCCAACGTGATATAAAATCCATAGGTATTAGGAAGAATCTGTGGAAAATAGATAAAAACTAAATACTTTTTTTTTTCTTCTTGGGAAGTAGGCATCTGCTTCAGGGCCTCTTTACCAGGAGGTCTGGGACTACACGTAAGCCTTTTCCATCATGTGCTCAAACCTTTCATTTTACTTTTTCTGCAGAATTTTTTACTTTGAAACATTGCTCATTTTGTGGGCATACTTTATTGCAGTGCATTCTCTCTCTTTAATGAAATACTTCTTTCCTTAATGTTTGAAACTAGGAGAAAAGAGTTGCAATTGCTTTCGTTACCTGATTTCCTTTATATACAGATCCAGCTCAGTGCCTGCGGTTCTGTTTCTCAAATGGTCCATAAAATCATGAATCCTAAATTAAACAAAAACATTCAAAATACCTGCCAGTAATTTATTTGTCTTAACTTTTTTTTTCCTTTCCAGTTCAATTACTGTGATTCTCAAATGCCTGAATGCAAATTTCAAAAAAAAAACCCAAACTAATGATATGTATCGTTACTCATTTTTTAATAGGTTGAACTTCACCAGCTTAAAATCTACTGTAACTCAGACATCATCGCCCAAGAATCATGTTGCGAGATCTCAGACACTAAGGTGAGTGCCTTTTCTGTTGGCGTGTGAAACCGTAGCTGGCACTTGCCTGGTCTCTGGGGTCCACATGTAGGGCAGCGCTGACTGTCTTCTGTCGAAGCCAGGTGAGCAGTCTGTTCCAAGCAAGAGACCCCCTTGCAGGGCTCTCGCATCATTTCTTGTCACACTTTTACTCCCAGTGTATCATCCTGAAACAGTGCTATGGCCTTACTTTGGACTCAACGTAAGTAAAAGAGAATGTATGTCTTTCTCCCTAAACCGTATTCTGGCTGTAGCATCATCCTTGTCCAGTGGCAGGTTTTATATCAGTGATTGTCCATTACACTCACTCATTTCCCTCTTCTAGCCTCTCACCCATCAGAGACAGGTTTTTCTTTTTTTTTTTGGTGGGGGTGGGGAAGCCAGGGAGACAATTAGATTAATTTTTATTCATTTATTTAATAGAGGTACCAGGGATGGAACCCAGGACCTCATGCATGCTAAGCACACGCTCTACCACTGAGCGCCACCCTCCCCCCAGGGACAGCTTTCTTTGTGAGAGATTTGTCATCTGCATCTTCTCCTCTCCTTTTACTGCCATGGTCCACCTTGACCTCATGCCTGGATTGTTGCGCTGTCTTGTCATCTGCCTTCCCTGTCTCCAGCATAACCAGAATAAGTGTCTGAATCACTGCTTTGTAGATTCACTTACGCTCTTCCACTAAACATTTTTTATTCAAAAACATTGATCTGCTAGACATTGTGCTAAAGCACGAGGCTAACATGTGATTAAAGGCACATTCTCTGCCCTCTACTTACCTCTCAAAGCCCTTGGTTACTCCCTGTTGATGACAAAATATAGATTCAGTTTCTTAGCCTCTCATTTTTCATATTCTCAGCCCAACCCTACAACAATTACTTTCTTGTACCAATCTTCCATTCAAAAAAAAATACTGTATTCAGTAATTTCCTTTTTTATTTTTTGCTTTCATTTTTATGTATATATATTTTTGTTGAATTATAGTCAGTTTACAATGTAGTGTCAATTTCTGGTGTACAGAATAATGCTTCACTCATACATGAATTCAGTACTTTCTATGTCTCTCATTGCATTGGCGTGTGTGCACCTTGTATCATTAGAGTTGTATATGTTCTTAATTTATTCAACTACCTTTTAAACTCATTGAGGGGCATTATACTTTGTACCCTTCTTTTTTATTCCTAGCACTTTGTTGGTAGAGGATAGTCAAAATGTTGTTTCTTGGTTTGTTGACTTAACCAGTCAAGGGCATACATGGGACAGAAAGGTATTTGAAACGAATTAATTCCAGAAAGCCTTACAGAAAGAATGTAGGAAAAAACTAAAAGGTGAAAATGTTATACTTTGTATCTTTGATTTCCCAGAGTTCTACACTTACCATCAAAAATTGTATGAAAATTTTATCAATGGTTGAGTATTTAAAAATATTTTTAACTTTTATCATTCACTTTGGGTAGCAGATTAATAATATGACTGACTCACTCAAAGCATAACTGAGTCTCTCAAAATTATATGTTTTGCTTATATAACTTGGTTTTATAAGGCACATCTCCAACCCAATTTATAGCTCTCATCCCAATGAAAGGCAGCCAGATAACTTTCTATAAATATCTAAAAAGATAATTCAGAGTGCCGGTCTATAGGCGTGAAATACCTACACTTCCTGAAGCCACAAATTTAAATCTTGAAGATGTGAATTCTCCAGAAGTTTTTCTCTGCTTACTATACTTTTTTTTTTTTTTGCTGTAAGAGCTTTTAAAAGAATAATTTTCCCTGATTGAAAAGTATCACAATGATGTTTGGATGTATCAAATGTTACATTCTTGACCAATAGTCACTCCTCTGTGTCATCACATAATAGACATTTACAATTTGAATTACGAGAAAATTGTTTAAGAAAGTACAGGTGGTGAATTTGATGGAGGACGTTGCTAATCAAAAGCAGTGACATGGCCTCACACATTGTGGAAAATATTGTAATCATGTTTTTAAGATATTTAGTTTTAAAGAGTAGAAAGTAAGGTGGGAATTCATCTCCAACTATACAAAAATAACAAACAACTGCCATGTTCCTGCTGATAATTATTTGGGGGAACCTCATTGTTCTGTTAATGGTTAACAGGAAATCGAAACATGCTGCATTTTACAAATGGAAATGAATATTTTAGAATGCAGATTATTATACAGCAGCTACTTGAGTGTATCTGCCATAGTTCTGACAACACTGTATTTTTAAAAAATGTTTGAACTCAGAAAATTTTAATGTACTTGCTTAAAGATCTAATTTCGTCCTGTAATTTCAAATCAGACATGCTTTTTGTTATTAATACTTTATAACGTATTTCAAAAGTAAAATTAATTCAGGATAGTCTATAAATATTCATTAGATTTTCTCTTTCTGAAGCAGTCAAGTTTCATGACTGCAGACAGAGAAAGTGAAGAATAAATATGAAGAGAGGGAGGGAGTCAGCAACATTTGTTGAAAACAAATGAGAAACATGATTGAAATTTTGAGGGCTAATTAACTGAGTATGTGTCAAACCAAAACCAGAGGTTTTATGAGGGGAGAGGGCCTTACTTGGATGTCTTATGTTCCCTTTAGGCACTTTTTTGGAAAGTGTGAGCAGGTTTATAGTGAAGCCTGAGACCTGTTTTCATTTAAAAAAAAATTTAAATTGAAGTATAATTAATTTACACTGTTGTGTCAGTTTCTGGTTGTACAGCATAGTAATTCAGTTATACACATATACATGTATTCTTTTTCATATTCTTTTCTATTTTAGGTTATTACAAGATATTGAATGTAGTTCCCTGTGCTAGACAGTAGGACCTTGTTGTTTATCTATTTTTTATATAGTAGTTTGTATCTGTTAATAGCAAACTCCTAATTTATCCCTTCCCCACCCTTTCCCGTTTGGTAATCATAGTTTGTTTTCTATGTCTGTAGTCTCTTTTTGTTTTGTAAGTTAAGTTCATTTGTATATTTTTAGATTCCATGTATAAGTGATACCGTATGATATTTGCATTTCCCTTTCTGACTTGCCTCTCTTAGTATGATAATCTCTAGGTCCATCCATGTTGCTGAAAATGGCATTGTTTTATTCTTTTTTATGGCTGAGTAGTATTCCATTGTGTGTGTATGTATATATAATGAACACACCACATCTTCTTTTCCTAGTCATCTGTTGATAGACATCTTGGTTGTTTCCATGTCTTGACTTGTAAATAGTGCTTCTATGAACATTGTGGTGCAGGTGTCTTTTTGAATTAGGGTTCCTTCTGGATGTATACCCAGGAGCAGAATTGCTGGATCATAGGGCAAATCCATTTTTAATTTTTAAACGAATCTCCATACTGTCCTCTACAGTGGTTGTACTAAATCACACTCCCACCCATAGTGTAGGAGGATTCCCTTTTCTCCACACCCTCTCTAGCATTTATCATTCGTGGAGTTTTTAGTGATGGCCATTCTAACCAGTGTGAGGTGATACTTCATAGTTTTGATTTGCATTTCTCTGAAAATTAGTGACATCGAGCATCTTTTCATGTCCCTGTTGGCCATCTGAATGTCTCATTAGGGAAATGAGACATGCTTTTTAAGTCATTTAAATCCCCAATCTAAAATAACAAATCAGTTATCCAGAGCAAAATTGTAAGCTGAACTGAATCTTGATTATCTGAGAAACCAGAGAGCAGGAACTGGCTAGAAAATCATATCAAATCATATGAGATACATGGATTGCTTTGGTGATAATCTTGTTTCATTCTAATGTAAATTTTAGACTCGTGGACTTGGAAACTTAAAGATAACTCAATAGCTGATCATTAAATGAGCAGAGAGTCATGTGACAGAACTAGTGATAAAGACAGGAAACTAGTCACAGTATTTCCAGGTACTATTTTTCTTGCACTTTAGTGTGCTACCCATTTTTCAAAATATTTTTTTGTTTGAAAAGTTGTGTATGTTTACTACACAAAATTTGGAAAATGCGGGTAATTTCAAAGAAGAAAATAATTATCGACCATGATCTCACTACAATAAATGACCACTGAGGATATTTTAATTTTGTATCCTGACCATAATTTTCCCTGCATACAAAGTATGCAAAGTATACAAAGTAATGTGCGAATCCTTCCCCTCAAAGTGCAAATTCAGACAGGAAATTGCAAATACATGAAACTGCAGATTCAGAGTGACAGACCGTAAACGATGTTGAAAGCACAGGATGCATTTATCCTCTTCAGACTCTCTGGATTTACTTTTTTGAACAGAAATAGAGTTCTTTGCTTTGTAACCAAATTTCACCTCATGTGGCCCCACAGGTTCTGAACCCACTGGATAAGTATAAAAATCATCATTGGTCTCTTACAGCGGAGGCTTTTGAATGAATTTAAAGGACAATGGACTGGAATAAAATATACTTTGATTAAATATATACCACTTTAGAGCATAGAAAAGATTTTATTTTCTACTTTTACATCCCTTTACAATCCTCTTGTTAAAGTAAATGATGTTTTATACTCACAGACATAGAGAACAAACTATGGTTACCGGGGGGAGGTGGGTGGGAAAGGATAAATTGGGAGTTCGAGATTTGCAGTTACTAACTACTGTGTATGAAATAGGTTAACAACAAGGTCCTACTGTACAGCACAGGGAACTATATTCAATATGTTGTAATGACCTATAATGAAAAAGAATATGAAGAGGAATATCTGTCTATGTGTGACAGAAGCAGTATGCTGTACACCAGAACCTGACACAGCGTTGTAAACTGACTGGACTTCAATAGAAAAGAATGTAAACTGTCGACTGAAATCAATGCACAACCTAAAAGTTGAGAGTTATGTTTTATTTGGTGGACAAGTCTGAGGACTCAGTCCAGGATGACAGCCTCTCAGATGGCTCCGAGGGACTGCTCCGAAGAGGCAGGGGAGGAGCTAGGATATATAGGCGCTTTACCACAAAGACCAGGTAGTCGGAACATAAAAAGATTACCTGTTAGCTAAAGAAAACCAGACATCACGAGAGTTAAAGAATTTAGTGCTTTTCTCTGTATGGGAGGGAGCAAACATTTGGGCTCACTGAATTCATTCCTTTGACAAGCACCTAGCTATCCAGGGCCAGGATCCTGCCCTTTCTTATTCTGAGCCCCCTCAGGGTGCCCCACTGTGAGTGGCTGCAGGCTTGTCTTCACTGGGGGTTGGCGCAGCCACCGATGACTTGCTGGTTTCAGCATCCTTTGTTTACTGATATGGTTTGCAGTATTTTTTTGTTCACAAAAGTAAATGATGCTTTAAAAGTTTGAATTACACTCTTTTAAATTTGCTCCCCCAATACATATGCTGATGTAATTTGTATAAATTATTTTCTTGGAACAATGCAATGCTTGTAAACGTTTACTGTGACAGTACTTGTCATCAAGTCACCCATCATAGCTTTAGAGTTTCTCACCCAAACCCACATTTAAATGCATTTCTAGTGTGTTGTCAGTGTAAAAAAAATGTAGGGGGCCAGTGAAAGAGCTAAGTCATTATGAACTTTCACGTGCTGGTGTCAGCCTTTAGTTATTAGAAGGCAGTTTTGCAGGGAACCCCAGTCGTGCTGACTTCGGTGGGAGTCAGTGTTGGGAATGCTAGGATGTTAGGGATGGACCCCATTTCCTAAAGCCTCTTTTTGGATTTTAGTGCCCAGAGCAGGATGGCTTTGGACGTCCTGCGTCGTCACCATCAGTGCCCGCTCATGCCGGTAGAATGTCTGCATATCTGCCAGCCAAGCAAGACCTCACAGACCAGTGCCAGTGCATCCCCAGCAAGGTATGCTAGCTTTACCCTGTGCCTGCGGGAAAGCCACTCCACGCCGTGGGCCAGACCTGCAGGTGTGGGCCTGATGCGCAGAACACGGCTGGCCCTTTAGTGCTGGTTGAACTAGGTGCCTGAGCCTCTCAGTTCCTGGGGAGGGGGGGTGGGTAGGTTAAAAAAAGGGGGATGAGGAATTCAGCTTTTCTGGATTTCGATCTGGATAGTTCAGAGCCCATCCGTCCTTCTCTCCTGGGTGCGAGGTAGAATGACCAGGGAACACCTGAACAGCAGGCAAGGATCAGGACCTGACACATGCCAGCAAGAGGCTTCAGTCCTGGGAATTCACGGCTGAAGGAAACTCAGTGCCTGGCCTTAAAAGTATGGAGGAGTAGGTCTTTGTTGTGTGGACACTGTACCTGTCCAGTGCCCCAGAAATCCACCCAGCTCTCCTCTCCTCCTCTCCGCTAGACGTCGTATGAGGAACGCAGGGGACTCAGAGAATTTGTGCGGCTTGCATCTTCCTGGTCAGGAAGCCTGGGCCCGTGGACTTACAGGAATGTCTTTTGTGGATGTTTTTTCTTGTTCTTTTTTTTTCTTTTTACTTATTTATTAATTTGGTGGGGGAAGTAATTAGTTTTTTGTTTATTTTTGATGGAGGTACTGGGGATTGAACCCAGGACCTTGCGCATGCTAGGCACCTGCTCTATTACTGAGCTGTACCCTCCCCTTTTGTCTTTTGTCACTATTAATGGCCCTCAGAGGCCTGTACTAAACGTAGGCTGAGTGATCTCCTGTCGGCTTTCCTCTATGCCCGAACCGGAGGGAGGGAAAACTTGGCCCAGCTCCTAGAGCAGAAGGTCCCCTAGTTCTGTGTCTCCATACGTGCTCTGAGGCTTAATGCATCCTGCGACCATGCTCCCTCCTGGCTGGAGGAGTGGGGAGGAGGGGCAGTGGAAGTTTAGGGGAAACTTACATTCCCTCCAGCGACCAGTAAGCTCCATGGGAAAGGCAAGTCCAAGGTGCGGGGGGTGTGGAGCAGAGCACGTGTCCCAGCCCGTGGCAGGTGCCAGGGAGGAGAGGATGCTGAATGGTGATGGGCAGAGGGGGAGAAATGCACCTTATAAGCTGGGGAAGACGGGCCTCCTGGCCGAGGGACCAGCATCGGCTCCCAGGAGAGCAAAGCTTTGTCTTCCTATTGTCCGCTTCTTCTTTATAAGCTATTTGCCTTTAGTTCAAAGGAACAGCATATTTGATAACACAAAACTCATCTCTGCTCAGGGAGAAGCAGGATTACCGGGAGCTCCGGGCTCACCTGGCCAGAAAGGGGACAAAGGAGAACAGGTGAGACTGCCCCCCACCACCCCGACCAGTGCTGCCAGGATGAAAGAGGGTTTGTCCAACAGTGACTTCAAAATCGTGTCCCTCTCGTTTTCCTATGTCCTGCGCCAATGCCCATTTCTGTAGAAGGTAGTCAAGGGCTCCGCGTAAGTGCTGATCGCTGAAACGAGGAAAGCCGTGTTATCATTCAGGTCTGCTCATGAGTGAGACTGGCCTAAGATGTGGAGAGATTTGGAAATCTGAATCTTTATACCTGGAAAAATGGGAAGCATGGAAGTTTGTTTTTCAGTCGTGCTCTGGCTTTCTTTGGCAGCATTCTTTTCTTCAAATACTTGACACACTCTTGTTTCTCGTGTCCAGTGAAGATTCTGCCCTAGCCTTTATTCAGACATCTCACCTTTGTTGGACGCCTTCTCTTTGTCAGGCCTGGTGTGAGGAAATTAGAAAGACTAGCGTACATTTCCCCGTTCTCAAGGATTTTGCATCTGGAAGGAGATAGAAGACCTCACAAGGCCACACGTTTTAGGTGCCCTAGGAGAGGTGCAGAGGCCCTGAGGGGACAGTCTGGGGACACTGGGGGCAGTTTCCTGGAGGAGACTGTGAGTGAGCTGGACCCGTAAGGATCTGACACCTAAATATTCGCTTTTTTCTTGTTGTTGTTCATTCATTCATCAACAGCTGTTTATTGAGTTCCCACTATGGTAACACAAAGTGTGCTGCATGCTGGAGCTGCTGCAGTCATGCCAAAGCACAGGGTTTGCTCCCACTCAGTTTATCTAGTGAATATTTGTTCAAGAGCCTTCCCTCCCCCTTTAGGAATGAAGACAAGTAGTGAAGATTTAGGGAAGAACTTGTGAAAATGACAATGATGAGCAAATTGTGTGTGTAAGTTGTGTGAATATTTTTTTAGGACTTCAACTTTATTCCTTGCATTATTTTTTTCCTTTCTTTTTTACCTTTCGACTCATTTCGGCCATTTATCCCATCCTCCGACTCCCACCTCTGGCAACCACCACTGTTTTCTCTGTGGATGAGCTTGATTTGTTTTTTGTTGCTGTTGCTGTGTTTTTGTCTTCTTTTTTTTTTTTTCAGATTTCACATAAAAGAGAGATCATATGGTATTTGTCTTTCTCTAAATGACTTATTTCCCTTTAGCACAATGCCCTCAAGGCTCATGCATGTTGTAGCAAATGGCAAGGTTTCATTCTTTTTTATGGCTGAATATTATATATATGTGTCTATGTATACACACACACATACACACACATATATATATACAATTTCTTTTTCGTTCATCCTTCGATATACATTTAGGTTGCTGTCATATCCTGCCTATTGTATATAATGCTGCCATGAACATAGGTGCGTATATCTTTTCAAATTAATGTTTTTGTTTTCTTCAGATAAATACCCAGAAGTGGGATTGTTCTATTTTTAAGTTTTTGAGGAGCCTCCATAGTGGCTGCACTAATTTGCATTCCCACCCACAGTGCCCCAGGGTTCCTTTTTCTCCACATACTCACCAACACTTGTTATTTGTTGTCTATTTTGATAATTGAATTCTAACAGGTGTGAGGCGATGTCTCACTATGGTTTTGATTTGCATTTCCCTGATGATTAGTGATGTATCTTTTCATGCATCTGTTGGCCATCTGTATGTCTCCTTTGGAAAAATGTCTAGTCAGGTCTTCTGTCCATTTAAAAATAGGATTGTGTGGGATTTTTTGCTGTTGAGTTGTATAAGTTCTTTATATATTTTGGATTTTAGTCCCTTATCAGATATCTGATTTGCAAATATTTTCTTTCATTCAGTAAGTTGCTTTTCATTTTATTCATGGTTTACCTGGCCATGCAGAAGCTTTTTAGTTTGATATAGTCCCACTTGTATATTTTCGCTTTTGTTATTTTGCTTTTGTAGCTGTACTTACATCTGACAAAATAGGTTTTAAAACAAAGGAGGTAATAAGAAACAAAGATGGATTTTACATAATGATAAAGGGGTCAATCCAAAAAGAGAATGTAACATTTATAAATATTTATGAGGCTAACATCCCCTAGTGCCTAAATATAGAAAGCAAATATTAACACACCTAAAGGGAGAAGTAGTCAGTAATTCAATAGTAGCAGGGAACTTTAATATCCCACTCCATCAATGGAAAAATCATCCAGACAGAAAATCAGTAAGGAAACATTGGCCTTACACAGCATGTTGGACCAGAAGATCTTAAAAGACAAATACAGAACATCCCCTCCAAAGCAATCAAATATATTATAATAGGTACTCAGCCAGTGTGTGTTTCCTCTGCTTTCCTATCCACGTGTAATTGTTCCTGTGTTGAAAGGGAGGTGGAGATTATCGTTTTAGGCTGAGTTCAGTTTCATATGTGGCTTTAACAAAAACAAGCAAATCTTCACTTTGTGAAATAATCCCTTAGAATTTTTAATGAGTTAAATGTTTTAGTATATACAAATCTTGAGTTGTTATTATATGCTACTTGTAGTAAATAGTAACAATTTATTGATTGTTAACTTATTCAAAAGATCACTCAGTGATTTAAATATTTCATCCAAATCTGTGTCTTTTGTTCCCAATGTTATTTGACAAGATTTTCCTTAGATCTAGTGTGCTAATTTTTGAAGAGTTTCCTTAACATTGTTAAGCTTAGATTAGGGACTATCCGGAGACAAGTATATATTTACTTTTCTCATTAACTATAAGATACATATTACTAATCTTTTAGTGCATTTTACTTTTGGCCCAATGAGGTAAGATGAGAAAAGCACTGAGAATGCAATCCCCCCTAAATCTCTTTCCAAATTATGTGTTACTCATCACAATATTTCTAAAGGTGTTAAGTTCTGAGAATCCTTACTGTAATCTGTGGCATCTTGATGAAGAGCAAATTTTACTTTTATTTATGCCCATACACTCATTGTGAGTTAGACAACAATTCTGAGTACTCATATGAGTAAATCCTGTCCCACGTGGATCAAAACCCACCAATGGCTTCCCGTTCCCCTCAAAATAACACTGAAGCTCTAACCACGGGCTACAAGGTTTCCCATGATGCGTAGGGCTCTCCCCACCCCACTCCTCACTCCCTTTATCGTCTCCCCCACTCTCCCCTGGTTCAGGTCTGTCCTAAGGTCTTGGCACCAGGTTATATACACGTGGAATGCTTCTCTAGACAGTCACTTGCCTCTTTCCTTCACATCATGTAGGCTCTTTCTCAGAAATCACTTTAAAATAGACAGGCCTAATTCTGACATCTCTTTGTAGAAAGCATCCTTCACTCCACCTCTGTCTCCTTTCTTAGCACTTTGATTGTCCCCTGACATGTTATAATTATGCTTCTATTTACTTCCCCAACTAGAATGTGAGTTCTGTGAGCACCAGACAGAGAACAGCGCATAATAGGAGCTAAAAATATATTGAATGAATGAATGAACATTGTACCTCAAGGAGAGTCTAAGTCATCAACTCAGCTGTTTCTAAAACCTTTAAATTCTGTGCCCCAGTTTCCCAAGGGGACCTGACCAAGCAGGGTGAAGGGTCAGTTTGCAGACAAAGAGCTGGACAAGCTAAATCGTAAGGACCTATTACATTACTCACTTCAGTTCTACACTTTTTCTTTTAAAAACCAAACGTTTTTGTTGCTGTTGTTGCTGTTTTCATTTTTTTTAACATAGTGATCTGATTAGTTTTAGCTTGTTATTGCCAATTAGTTAATGAAGAGTCAGGGTATTTGGAAGAAAGCCACAAGTTGTGGCATGACTTACCGCTTACCTGTATTTGCCTGTTTTCTCGTCCATACTGTGATGCTTCATTAATCGGATTCACTGCTTTTCTTTTTCCTTCTAAATACGGTGATTCCCCTCTCATGGAGAGAGATGGTTTGCAATTCAATCACTGCTGATTAATATGTAGCCATGATAAGTATTCTATATCAGGACACCTGATCAAACTCTCCTAACCACCCCTCTGCCCAAGACTAAACTCTGGATGACATTTTTTTGAAATAATAATGAAGACTTTTCTTTGATTTAGACTCAATTATTGTAATTTTCTGAATCTTTTAATTCCCTTTTCTTACTTAGTGTGGTTAGCAACCTAATTACTTAGCAACCGCGTTACTCCCTCGGTGCTTTAAGACCTTTGCTGATACCTTCACCCCCTCACAGGTGAAATGCCCTGAGTTTTGTAAAATAGCAGCTCAATTTCAATGTTCCTGAACCTAAGAGGGAGTGTGATCTGTGGTCTCTTTGGGAAAAAAATCTTTCAGTTTATTTTTGGATTATTATCTTCCATATAAGTTAACTTCCCCCAAAGTGTAGGCTTTATGACATGGTTGCTTTGCTAATAGACTTTCAGAGAAAATCAAAACAATTTAAAAAGAAAGCTTAACTTACTTGACTCTATAGTCAAAAACTTTGGTATTGATTTTTTTCTCCTACCTCCGCCCTCTAATCTCACTATGTGGAAGTTTCCATTTTGAGTGTTCTAGTGTGTTAGCCCAGAGATTATAGTGAATTTCCCTTTATTTCCTTTCCAATCTGATGTTACCCAGATGTCTATTCTGTAGACACATTACAGCAATAAAAATAATTGAATCAAAATACACTCATAGTTTTTAAAAGAAAGAATATTTTCCCCTAGTAATACCTTCAAAGAAGTAGGATTTAATATTATGCTTTTGACTTTTTGTCTATGTCAATATGAGAAATAAAGAATATTTCTTCATCCTTTCTAATCCAGTGTTGAATATATTGGATTAACTGACAGGTTCTTTTTGTTTGTGTATCACTTTTACTCCATCTGATATAATCTCATCCAGTCTGTAGAAATTTGAAGTTGAGATTTACTTAAATCTAAAATCAACATATAATATTGGTATAATAATGGTATTATATACTCATACAATTCTAGTGCAATTTCTTTTTCTTTTTCTTTTTTTTTTTTTTGGCCTTTTTTTGCCATTTGCTTTTTTTTTTAGTTGAAGTTC